CTGGTGATAAGTATTGGTCAACATGGACTGATGCTCATTACCATTCAAAATTCTCTTGTGGAGATGTGCTTCTAGTGCTATCTCAACATGGTTTTCAAAATCGGACCGGACCGGACGATTGAACTGGAAAAACCGGTAATTGGTCAGGCCCCCGAGTCTGATTATACTATAAACCGGCAATTTTTTAAAAGCCGTTGAAAAAGTCAAAAAAACCGCTGATCCGGGCAGCGGTTTGCGGGTTATATTTTTTATTTTCGTTGATTTAAACAAAATAAAAAACAAAAAATAAAATGACTCCTATATCCCCGACCCCAAATATTACGAATGCTACGGCGTTCGATGGCGACACACAGCGACGACGACGATTCACGGCGACCGGCGACCGGCGACGGCGGTCAGCTTCATCTATAGCGGCGAGCGTTGATTTTGCAGCAGGTCCAGCCGTTCAGCAGTAACAGTTACGGTAGTAACAGGTCCGGCAGCCGGCGATTTTGCAGCGGCGGGCGGGGGTTTCTAGCGGCAATAACAATTGCAGGCTTGCAGCAGCACTTGCAACGGCAATCACCTGCGACCAAGCCCAAGCCCACCGTCAGTCAAACCACCATTATCGGCGGTAACCATCTTTGTTGCTGGTACCATGGCCGGGGCAGTGATAGCCAAGCTTGAGCATGTCAAGGAATTCATAGCTCAAAAATGCAGAAAATTTGCAGCCCCAATTAGCCCAGAAGCTGTAGCAGTGCGAACCCTCAGAAACTTGCGTGGTTTCTAGTATATTATTTCACTTAGCCTGCCTCTCCCATGACTTTCCGGACCAACCAACCCGGATCTGCCCTCGCAAGTCTCTCTGCATTTTGGGAGCAGAGCATGCAAAATCGAGCAATGGATCTTAGAAGCTTTGAACGGCACGACTCTTTCTGCACTGGCATTTGAGTTGTCTCCCCTCTTCTTTCAATCGACACACTCGACGTAGATAGCTCCGGTGGCCCTGCCTTCTGCTTCTATCGAGCGGCAACAGCCCCTACCCTCCCCTACCACGCTTCCCCAAGAATCCATTTTTCAGGATCCTGCCTGGGCCATGATCTTTCTGAGCCTTTAGCAAAGACCTTTGGTGTTTGGAACCTTATTGACAGTGGTGGCAATTTCAAAACTGGATATATTCTGGTTCTTCCGATGATACAAATTACAAGCTTGACTGATTTTCTGTTGCTTCCTGACTTCCTGTCACTGCCCCGTTGGTTGCCATTGCCGATTTAATTGAGCGCTTAGTCCTTGGCATTAGAATCTTGGTCATCGTGACCATTGTTGAGCTCATCCGCACACATGCTGTGATTCACCTTCTTTTGTCACTTGGCATTGGAGTTAGAGATGATGATGAGGATTTCCAGAGTAAAGCTAATTGAATTCAGTCTCATATTCTCAATTTATGGATATAAGATGATCTAGTGTTCTACTAAGGCCCTCCAACAATGTCATAGTCATCTAATAATCTGTTGGTTTTAAATTTTATTCATGTTGATTTCCTTAATTGTTAATTATTTAGATAGTTTTATTTTTCTATATTTTTTGTGTTTTTTCTGTATTTTATTTTTATATTTTTTCTGTATTTTGTACTGGATAACTTTTGTATTTAGATAGTTTTATTTTCTATATTTTTTTGTTTTTATTTAATTTTATGCTATTTTTTATTATTTATAAATATATTTTTATTTTTAATTTATTTATGATTTCATGGGTTGAATCGTTTGACCCAGACGGTTGAAATGTTTGACTGAAAACCGGTCCCTTGACCGGTTCTATTTCTGGTTCGTTTTTAAAAACCTTGATCTCAACCATGGTTTTTGAATCGCCGTTGGCTTGGACAGTTAGACTGTTCAGGCAACCGGTTCTGTTTTACCCCAAACCCGATCATTGGCAAAAACCGTTGAATCAGTCAACGACCCGTTGACTTGGACAGCTGAACCGCCAATCTGTAGACCCACTCAATGGTTTTTGCCGTTTTTTTTTGTTTTTTAAACTTTTTATCATAATGGGCCATCCATTCGAACCATCGACCTGGAAACCAATGGCTAGAACGGTTCTATTTCTGGGTCATTTTTTAAACCCATGATCTCAACCAAAGCTTGCTTGCCACTAGCAAGAGTGCTGAGGTTCATGGATGATTGGTGTGTTGCAGCATTACGTTGAATCATTTAAATGTGATACAGCCAAAACTATCTGGCTTGGCCCTGATACTTTTAAGCTCATCTACATTAAAATTTTCATAGGCTTTCTAAATGGGACCTACCCCCATAAACTCAAAATTGCTCATGGGCCTTAGTACGGGTCCTTTTATTTTGATCATGCCTTATACTCTCAAATATGTGCTTACAGGCCTTAGTATGGATCCTTTTATTTTGCCCATGCCCTATACTTTCAAATATGTGCTTACGGGCCTTAGTATGGATCCATTTATTTTGCCCATGCTCTATACTCTCAAATATGTGCTTATGGGTTTTAGTACATGGGCCTTAACAGTTTGGTTTTGCTCTTGCAAATCCATTAGCATGGTGAAAGGGTGGGACCCATTATGAAGTCAAAATTCAAATTCAAATTTGAATTACAAGCCTTAGTGGTTTATGGAAATAATCCTATTAGAGCCTGTTTCAAGTCTTAAAGATGGAAATTTAGCCAATGATTGAAGAGAGAATAATTGATTTAAATTCATTCTCTCCATAAATGGTAAATTGTCAACTTTCTTCTTTATAAAAAGTAACTAGAGCCAATCAAATCTCTAGTCAATTAAGGAACATCTTCCCATAGATGGAAATTGGTCAATGATTAGAGAGAAAATAATGGTTGATAAATTACTCTCTCCAAGAATGACAATAATTACAACCTTTCACTCTCTAAAATGGGTAAGAAAAGCTATTCAAATCCTCAATCAAGGGGATTAAGAGATGAGACTAAGAAATCTATAAATAGAGGTTCCCATTAAGAGGGATGGGACTTTTGGTTGAAGAAAAAAACTAAGTGAAGTAAGAAAGCTCTTGAGAAGATGGAAGCACATACACCATTTTCTAATGAACAAAGCTACAACATCTTTGAATTTTAACAGAATCCTTCTTTTGATCAAGCTTTCCAAGCCCAATTAAAGGAAGTAATCTCCATTGTGATCTGAAGTACATGAACACTTCATTCGACCCTTATCTTCAACTCAAATCCAAATCTTCAAGTTGCAAAAAGCACTATCAAGAGAGAATCAGAGGTTTTATATCTTTTGTAAGAGTTTCAAATACAAAGAGTTTGTATCTCATTTATTTCAAATTTATATAAAACATCAATTTATTTGAATGTCTTCATCTTTCTTGTATTGGATTTTTACAGAAAATTTGTGTTGACACTCATCCCACACATATTTGTTATATATCATTTTTACATATGTTTATATGTTATATATATATATATTAGTATTATAATATGAAACTTATAATACATATTATGTATAGTATTTTATCTTATATAATGTATAAAATAAATTTTATACATTGAATATTATGTATTCTATATCATGTATTAATATTATATGATATATAATACAAAATGTTGTGTATATTGAATATTTTATACATAAAAGTCATAGGCCTAGATGGGCTTACGTTTCTTGGAACCTGGGCCTTGCTGGGTTTGGGCTATAACCCTTATCACAAGTGCTAACCCCAGCCCATTATCATCCCTAGTTGATTGTAACGTATTTCTTTCTAGAGACCATTTAAGTATGCCATTTTTAAGTATATATGCCTTATTATAGTAATCTAAGACATCATAACATCACCCAAGTTGGTGGTTGTGGGAATCAAATCCATGTTTATGTTAGAACGAACCAACTAATGTACCAATTAAACCACCCCTAAGTTGACAGATTTTCTAATGTATTGGTATGTATTTCAATACGTCTCTTAAAATTGTCTTACCAATACTATTTGCATTTACGAAACTTTGAACCTTGGTCATACATGTAAAAAGTCCAATAATGGCTAATCAGCTATTACTAGTCATTGTTCTCTATTGAGTTTAGTTAATGTTGTTTGATCTCTCTCTCTCTTATTCTGAACTGACAAATTGTTAGTTGATATGATACAATGTCTTCTATTATTTAGATACACTGAAGTAACATAAATAAAAAGCCTATCAATGACCTTAAAAATCGATACGATATATCCTGTATATCAGAAGTATTATATCGATACTTTGAACCTTCAATACAAGGATGGGGACTCTATTTCTCTATGGGGATTCTATTTTCAAGAAAACTGAGGATTTCTGTCTTGGTTTCATTCCTCCATGCATGAAGGATATCACAAGACATGGACAGTATTTTATTGGAAGGACTGAGGCAACATGCCAAGGATTTCATTCCTGAATATGATGTCTGCCAATGACAAATGTGAACATATCAGTTATCACTCGCTGGACTTACTTGTTGCTAACCTTTATAGCATTAACAATAGCTCACCGAATATGGACCAACATGTCAGTGGATTTTATTGATGGGCTGCCAAGTATCAAGAGGAAAAACTACCATTCATGTCAAAAGCTCCATTCGTGCCATTGTTGATCAGCTCAGATTTTCTTTGAATACATATTTCGACTATAAAGTTGCATACTTTTTTTTTTTTCGGTATAAGACTATAATGATGCTTGTATCTACAGAGTAGAGTGTGGTTGAGATCCCACATTCATTCATCAGTTATAAAAGAGTTTGAGAGATATTAGTTTCATGGAACAGTACATAATTTTAATTTTCTCTTTGACACTACTCTCCAGCCGAGAGTTGGTGAGTTTTATCTTTTCCTTGAAAAATTTCATTGGTTGCATTTTCTTTTTGTTGTAAAGCACAAGCATTCAATTCAAAATTAGAGATTTCTTTTCCTTAAATATAATGCCACAAGTGTATAAGATTTCACTTATAAAAAAAAGTACAAAATCGCATTAATAAAATAGGACTTTGGGAAATTTTTGAGTGATTCAAACTTGTCCAAATTATTTGTAGAAAAAAAATCTGTACAAAATTGTTCTTGCATCAATGTAAGAGTTTCTGTACAATTCCCTACAACTACAATTAAACGAGGACTTTATTGTATTCTATTAATCCTCCATAGACAACAAATATCCTCAGTCCATCATATTCATATACCAACAAAAGGAAAAGAAAATAGGAAATGGTACATTGGCATGAATGTAGGCAGTAGCACCAAATTAGCACCACCAAGTGTGTCACTTGAATGCGTAGCACTTGTGAAAAGCAAGTCGATTCTACTTCCCACAACGTGCTAAAAGTCTGATCATTTTCCTCGTTTGCCTCTACATGAATACATAATTACTGAATGACCATTTTAAACAGGATGGAGATAGGAATGATTTAGACACGTTTGTTGCCTGGGAACAAGATCTTGGTAATTGATCAAAGGGGGTAGCCCCCTTAACAATTCTGTATAAATGGGGTATTCTATTTGTATAGATATGGTAGAGGGGTGCATCCAATTCTTGTTTGTCCATTAGTTCCCAGTTCTCTTCACGCAGGGTGCAGCTGCCTGGTAACTTGAAAGGTGCATAATCATAACTGGTTATTGTATGACTAGACATGATTAAATCCATTCCCATCTGTAGAACCAGCATTGTTGGTATGGATTGACTAGAATTCACTTTCTAGCTCCTTCAAATTGATCTCGCAGTTGTTCATACTTTCTAAGTTCAGCTACTGAGAGAGAAGGAGATAATTCTGCTAATACCTGTGAAATTCAAGGCAAACAAAATTTTCAGATATTGGATACAAGACACAACCAGCTAAAAAATTTTTAAGTACCATTGATTATGGAAGGTGGTTACATCTGCTGGAAATCAATATCCACCAATGAAAATTTTAAACAATGCATAAGAGCTGCTTTTTTCTTGCATTCCCTACTGGTAAAAGAATACTTTCTCTCTCCTTCAAACAGAAAACTCCATTTCATGTAGGAAAATGAGAACTTGTTTTGCAACTAAGAAGAAGAAGAAGATGAAGAAGAGATAGTTCAATGGGGGGAAAAATCACATCACCATCTGCAATGACCAGATTGCCCCTACTTAAGTAATTTGACTTCGGGTCTGTTTGGTTCATGAGGGGAATTGGAATCCCCTAGAATAGCCTATTCCTCCCGCCTGTTTGGTTCAGATGGAAATCAGAACCGGGGTCCATAAGATATGCATGGCTCCCATGGAGGGTTGGCATTGGGTAAAGAGAAAGTAAGGTTGGGGGGGTTTTAAAAGTCATTTGTCTTTTTTTTGCCAGCTGGAATTAGATTCTCCTTCTAAAGGGAGGAGGCTGGAATGGCCATTCCCTCTAATGGGGGATGACCATTCTGCCAGGAATGGGAATTGAATCCCAATCCACCCAACCAAATGGCTGGAAACAGAATGGGCCATTTTGATTCCAATTCCAGACCCCTATTCTTGCAAATCAAACAAACCCTTAGGTTTTTTGTAAACAAATTGGCTAACTAGTCCTTAAACTTAACAAAAGGTTTGGATACTTCACCTTTTATAACCTTCTCTCTCATGAAATGAAAGTCCACTTCAATATGCTTCACCCTCTCATGAAACATAGGGTTGGGCACAATATGAGAAGCTGTCTGATTGTCATAAAACAGATTAATGAGTGCTGTAATTGGTGCTCCAATCTCCTGAACTTAATGCTTTATCCACATCAAGTATGGGCCATGGCCTTATACCTTGCTTCTCCATTTCTCCTAGAATCCACACTACTTTTTGCTCTTCCAAGTGACTAGGTTGCCTTTGGGGAATATGTAACATACAGCAGTAGATTATCTAGTAATGAACCAGCTTCATTAGCATCTATATATCTTTTCAGTTTTGTGGCATCACTCTTCTTGTATGATAAAGTGCCCTAGTACACCTTTTAGATAGTGAAAAGCTCTAACAACTGCATCCTAATGAGAAGTTTTAGGACACCACATAAACTGGCTCAATTTTCCAACATCATCCTCATTTCATCCAAGCCTTAACCCGACCATATGGGGTCAGCTACAGTGATGTTAATCAACTAATTGAATTACGACCGACACATTATTGTTATCCTTAGAACACAAAAACGGCAACTCATTCATAGGCCTACACTCTACACAGAACAGACCCAAGACTTCAGTTTGAAGGAGAACCCTGCTGAATCAGACTTCAATTCCAGGCTGTGCACTGCATTGCAATCACTAAAACTTCCACTAAACATCACTCAAACTGCAACCTAATAATGCTAACGTCCTACTTCTAATTACACCTCAGATTTGATGAAGAATATAATTCATCACCTCATGCCTCGAATTGGTGAGACATGTGCTTCATTTGTGCAACATTGAAATTGAAAAAAAAACAATAAAAACATATTAATTTATAATATTCTTCAAAAATCAAGGAAACTTGATTATTAATTTGGTTAGACTTAAAAATCTCTTATAATGTCTCTCTCAATGCACTAGCACTACAATGTGAGATAATAGCATCTCCGTTCATATGTCCACCCATGATACATGGCAATGGGACCCTGCAAATCTACAATAAAAATGATAGTTATGTTTTTCTTTGAATGAAAAAATAAAAAATAAAAATTATTAATACAATACAAAATCAAAAAAATATTCGAACTCTTATTGTCCTCTCTTACAACCATTTAGTTCCAAGAAGCAATTTGAATATGATGAAAAACATTCATTTAAGAATTTATAAATTAGTTTATATTGAACAATAGACTAGAATAAATGCAAATTAAGTAAAAATATTATAAAGGTTATAATTGTAAAACAAAATACAAAGTAAAATCTAAAAAGTAGCATATTAAAAAGAATATACATATAATAACAAGTAAATATGTAACTTAGCTATTAAAAAAACAAATTGTATCATATTAAAAACAAATGTATAAATAAAATATTAATAAGTTCAGTTTGTTGTATATATATAAATAAAGTAGGAAGCATGCAAATTAAGTAAATGGATCATTTTATTTAGGAGAACGAAGGTTACAAACATGAAACAAAAACAAAAAAAAAATCAAAAACATAGGATTCATATTAAAGAAATAAATTACACACATACAAATTTAGAGTAGATGGGCATAAATACCCTGGCACCCGCTCTACTCTGTATAAATCATATTTCTAACAATGTTCAATATTTTTTTTGGGTATTGTTAGTTCTTTTGTTATCTATATTATGGAATTAGATTTTGAACAAAAAGAATGAAAATTCTCAATTAGGTCTCTTTAAATACTGATAACTTTAAAACTTCACTTTAAAGCGAAGCATACCACATATTGTTACATTCCTATCTTGAATCTCTATTCTGAGATTCTATAGCCTCTAAAACAATAAATAAATAAACTTGAAAAAAGAAAAGTCAAAGCTGACAATCATCCACGTAACATGTGCAGGAATATCCAGCATGATTCATGTGGCTGGCCCCATATAATTGGGTAAAGCTTTATTGAGTTGAGTTGAGTCCATTTATATCTTTCATGGCCTTTTGATTCCAGAATATATTACACCAGATGGGAATGGTCTTCTCACTCCAGATAATATCATATTCCATGGAGAACAGTCTAAATTAGGTACTATACTTGACCTTCCAATGCCCTCATGGATGACTGGCAGAAAGAACCACTGTTTAAACAAATGATCTTAAGAATTTTAGTCCCGCCAATTATATAACCACCTTTAGAAGGTGCATTTCAGATTCCCTAGGGATTTCATATTTTCTCTCTTTTGCATATCCAGCCAAAGATCCAGGACAAACATCCAGGACATATCCAGCCAAAGTTCTATGTTTCTGTTGACAGAAAAATAGAACTCATACAATCAATTGTTAAACCGATAAAACAAAGCAGTCATACCTTCATAAAATCATAAAATTCAACAACAACTGTATTGGCATTGTCATCTTTGCGCAAATGATCTGGATGTGGGTTTGAAACCTACAAGAAAGAAATTGTCTGAGCATCAATGGTGTTCATATGAAACTATTAAGCAGTCAATTAATACATAATTAACTATATGCATTAGATGTGAAGAAAAAGGAGAAAAAGAACTGGGTGCTTTCCATTTTAATAAGATACTCAAGAGATCAGAGCATGAGCATTTCTGACTAAATGTCTTAAACTCGTGTTAAATCATGCAAGAGGATGATGAACTCATCCTAGCAACCTTACCACCCAATAGGACCAAAGAAGCCAAGGATAATCTCATTATCTCAATAGCTTAGGGTTCACCAATCCTAGAATGCCAGTATTTCCTTGGGATCAAGCACTAAACTTGAGCTTGACCATACCTTGGCTAAAGGAAAGGGAAAATTGCATGAACTTTCCTCGTATTTTCTGACAGATACTTAAACCTCCCCTGTACTTTGGCCTCTTCAAAAATGTCCCTTCACGTTTCAAATAAAATATGCAAACATACCATTTCCACAAGGTTCAAAGTATTGATATGCTCAAACTGAATTTTTCAATATCAAACGTCTAAAACAATTGATATCCTTTTTATTTTTTTTCAGTTCCACAATCATACTATCATAGAATAGGTATATTAGGAGAGGTTCTAACATTTTTTGATAAATGAGGGGTTCATTTAAACGCATAGAAACCCCCTGAATCCTAGTATTTGGTATTTCAGTGACTCTGAAAAACCAGTACACATCATATGATATGGTACAATACATTGCGATATTTTAAAACTTGTCCTTCTGTTAATTATAATGTAACGGAGACATGGAAATTATGAATCTATGACTATGCTCTTGTTATGAATGTGCACAGTGAACACCATTGTTCTCTCTTCAGAATTCAGATTGCTTGAATATGGTGTTTTTGCCAGTAAGGGAGGTTAAGTTCAAGCACAACTTGGCCTTGTTATTCCTTCAATGAAGTGAACAATGAACCCACTTACATAACGTGAATCACCTTTTTGGGGATAATTCAATAAACCTTCATCCCAATAAAGTTTTTCATGAGCAAAAATGATATTTTAGAAACTTTAAAGCATTACGCGTTTTCTGTCAAAAAAATTAAAATAAATATGAGCAATATTCCAAATAGATTCCTTCTCCTTTGGGGAATATTACATGAATCACCTTCTTGTGGGGCACTTCCCAAGCAAATGGATTTCCAGGTTAGTTTTAGCAGGGAAGAGCAGAAGGTGACTTGAGGATGCTTACTGTTGCACAGGACCCTGAAGATAGAGCAGCTGGTGTAAACACCATTTCTCCAGACAACTGACACTCCATCTTTGCCTTCTGCAGGAGACAAGAGCACCTCTTCCTAAATCCCAAAGGGGCAAAAGGTCCTCGTGTGTTAACAAAGTAACAAGTTTCTCTTTAACAATAAGATAGAAAGCTTAACTCTTTAGGATGTACAGTTACAAGAGGAGCATCCCAAAGCACAAGTTTTCTCAAAACCAAAGATTATAGAAACCCTTTATTGGGGATCATATCTCATGTTCTGAAAAAAGCTAAAAAGAATCTCGATTATGGGATTCCAGTGGCTAGAAGAAAAAAAATCACCCAATTGAGAGCACAAGAATTCCATGAATTTGGTAGGAGATAATACTTAGTACCTGGTTTTTTTATCAGTATAGTTAGTACCTCGTTTTCAATGGGGAATCATCCAATTTGGAAGGAGAAAACACTTAGTACCTGGGTTTCAATAAGAGATCTCCAATAACCACTTTGTGAGGGAAGGTAGGTTCCTTTTCTATATGTTCTCTAATTTGGGATTAGCTTCATGCCTATTCTTATACACCAACACACTGTAGAGACTATAGGAGTTAAGACTGTATTGTGTTACTATAGTCCCTGCTGTACTTTATCGTGCTTATTTCTTATTCTTTTCTCTTTCCACCATGTAAGGGCATTTATGTAATTGTACATATCTTGTATTCTTTAATATATATTTGGCTCTTTAGGGTGGGGGCCAATTCATTCTAGACAGCCCTTTATTCTGTTTCCCTCTCCTCTGTTTAAACCCTAAGACCAATAGTACGAGTGGACCCATTGTCATGGTATCAGATTAGGTCATGATCCAGCCAGCCTGATTGTGCTTCCTTTCTGTTTGATTGCTTGTGGTCAAGGTATAAACCTGAAGTGTTTAAGGGTTATTTTTGGCTGTCTTTGGTTCTGCTCTTAGGGCTGTTTTGATCAATCCTAATCTTCCAATTTTTTGAAGTCTGAAATCTGGACTGGTGTGGTATTTTCTTCCTTGATCTCTCTTTGGAAGTGTCAGATCTTGATGAAACTCTAAATTGTGGATTGCCCAGACCTCTTTTACTTGTTCTACTCGGCTGATTCTGATTCTGATTCTGATCAAATTTGAGAGGGTTTTGATCCTTCTCTTGGGTGCAGAAACTTGTAGTTTCCTTTTATGGACGGTGTGCAAAATTTCTCTTATTTGATTGCTAGTTATATCAGCAGCACAAATCTGGTTTCAAAACAGGGCTTGGGATTTTGATATCTATCTTTATACCTAGTTCCACAAATATTTTCAAGGGATTATTGTAGTCTGATTAAAAGGTGTTTGTTGAAATTACTTTTTGGGATACCATACTTTCTTTCTTTGAGAAATCAGATTTTATTCATATAACAGACCTGTTTGATTACAAGTGGCCTTTGATAAGATTGAAGTTATTCCTGTTAAGCTAAATGGAGCCAAATATGGAATGTGGAAATTCCATTTTGACTTCTTTGTTGAAAGGAAAGGCCTAGAAGATATTTTTTTTATGAGTAATGAAAAGTATTTTATTAAAGATTAAATAAGAACTGTTACAGGATACAGCATGAAATATTTTTTTAGAAGATAAATAAAAAATTTATTAAAACAGGAAAAAACAGGGTACAAGGAAAGGTGATAAGCAACCACCCGAATGAAATGAAAATACCCAAAGGACAACCGACTAAAGCTTAACACCTTTGTATGCCAAACCCCCAAAAATCAAATAACCTTGACAACCAAGCCCCAAAACAGCAAAAATCACCGACATGAAATAGCAAAAGAAACCCGAAAACAAAAAACCATATAGCACCCAAAACAAAACAGAACCCCCACCCGAGACCCAAAGCTACAAACCAGACCCACAGTGGATTCCGAACTACTTAGTTTTTTTATTACAATCTTCCCAATTTCTTCTGGCTGCGCTTTTGTTTTTCCTTACTTTCTTGTTAGGTCCAAGGCCAAACAAACCTCCTTTTATTCTTGTGAAAACCTTTGAAACTGGTATCTGTTGTTGACTTCTTTTAATCTTCTGAGTTTTGAATCTTCTTACTGTATTTAATCCTCCACCGTCTGCTTCCAACTTCCCCTCAGAACTCTTACCCCTATCCGGACCAATCTCCCCCTCCAAAACTTTTGAATCTTCTCACCACCTCCATCAAACTTTTCCAATCCTTGGTTTGTTAAGTTACTTGATTTTCCAACCACCACTGTATCATTTTTAAATTCGTTCTCCCCATTCCTTTCCTCCACAGACCTGAAGGCTTCCTTCGCAAACTCCTCCCCTCCTAGGAAAAATAAACCCAAAATTCTGCTAACTTCCACTTCCTTATTTACAACTTTTTCAATGTCTGCGTCTCATCTATCAACATATCATCCTCACTTTCCTCCCCTGTGTCATATTCCGTCCCCTTTCTCCGTTTTCTTCTAAAGGAAAAGTTCTGTATTTTTTCCTTTTATACGTTCTTATTCCACCCCCATTCTTGTTTCCTCCTGTTAGACAGTTTTGTATGCCCTTAGCTTCAATCAAGAATGATGTACTTTATGAATTTATTGTAAATGAATAAAAGTACATATTTGAT